AAAACCCCCCCCAAAAAAAAAAAAAAAAAAAAAGAAAGAGACAGAGGGAGAAATCTGGGACTCCTACTTCCTTGTGGTTACACCTTTTGTCAAGGCACAAGGTTGTAGTGAAATGAAAGAGAAACAAACAGAAAGTGAATGTGCTTCCTTTGACCACAGGCTATTTGTTGAGCATCTCTACTGAAAATTGGCTAGTTAATTTTAAATGAATTCTAATAGTCTCCTTTAAAAGATAATTATAAAGTACCAGCCCTCGAATGTCAGTGAATGACTCAGTCTTATTACCTGAGTCTCACCCGGACATCTTCCTCGACAACTTTTGTAAATCCATCTGTTTCCTGCTGCCTGTCACCACCAGGGACCTCTGGCAGTGTCTGCTGGGAAGGGGGTGGTGCCACAACATCTAGTTGGTGGAGAGCAGGGATGCTAACAAGACCTATGGTCGGTATGGCCAAATGTCACCTCCCACCCTAGGAGGCCTCCAGCCTGACACCAGCTTTGGCGCTTTCTGCTGCCTCAAGAGCACTGGAATGACCTACCTTGTGGTTTATTTATTTCTCTTCTGTTTATTTCCCTGAACCCTACGAAACTAAGCTTTTGGTGTTTAGGCATTCACATGAGAAAAATGTCAGAAAAGTAACTAAGGCAGATATTCAGTTAAGGACTAAGGCTTTTTCGGGGTAGTGAATGGAATTCGTGTCTCATGAAACCACACAGAGAAGATGCTTAGAGCAGAGCAGGACACAGACAGTGACACAGGGACAGGCAGCTCCACTCCCCTGATCCCGAGTCACGCTGAGTTTCAATGGAGTTGAGTACGGGAGCCTTGCCCCACTCCAGGGGGAAGCAACCAGGCTAGGTCTCTGCAGATGTCCCTGAACATAGTCTTCTTCACTTCTACTGTGGACACCTCCATCCGATCCCATCGTGGGAAATACCCGACTGAACCCTTCAGTTTTTTTAAAAGAATTATTTTATTATTATTATTATTATTAAATTTGACCAGAAACACATACACACATACACACACACACACACACACACACACACAGAAAGTGAGAAAGCAAGCCACCAGGTCCGGGAGAGGCCAAAGGGCTTATTTTTTTAAGATTTTTATGAATTATTTCTTTATTTAAATTTATTTGTTATTATTATTTATTATTATTATTTTAATTTGACCAGAGAGAGACAGATAGGGAAAGTGAGAAAGCAAGTCGTCAGGTCCCAGACTCGAACTACAGTCGACCGTGTGTGAATCCATCACCTCCACCACCTTAACCACCATGCTACCTACTGGCCCCCGAGCAATATCTTAAGGTGCCTCTCCTTGACTTTTGTTAAAAAAATTTTGGGAGGGCAGTTCTGTGGCCTAGCAGGTAGGGGAGGCAGATCCTACATCGCTGAATGACAGTTTGAATCCCAAGCCTTGTGGCTTGAAATAAAACCACCAGGAACATGTGCATGCGTGCCCAAAATCCTGACGAAATAGAGAAATGGAGCAGGGATTATAGTGTCACTACAACCCTCTGGGGGGTGTTTTTTCCCTCTCCAGAAAGAAATAGAGGGAGAAGGCAGCCCTCCAATGGGACATAGTCACACTGCAATCCCTCCTCCATTTCTCCAACCCACTGAGATTTTGGGCATGCAAGCACAAGTGCCCATCATACCTGCATATGTGCCCACCATGTTTTTCAAGCAGCCAGGGCTGGGCTTCAAACCACAGTTGGCGGGAACCAGCAGTTAGCGTAATGGCTATGTCGCTGGACTCCCAAGTAGTCGACCGCGGTTCGCGTCCCGGACCCAGTGGCTTAAAACTCATGCTGGGCGCATGTGCGTGTGTGCCCAAGATCCGGAGAAGAGAATGGAGGAGAAGGGATTGCGGTGTGATCATCCCCCCGGGGGATGATTTCTTGCTTTCTGCCACATGGGCTCTGGCTCCTCTGCAGGATAGACTGGCCCCTACCTTGACTTCTAAACACTAAAATTGAACATGTAGGACTAAAACACTCTTGAACAACAATGAGGTCTCAAGGCTGATTTCCTGAACCACAAGAAAGGTGTATATATTTTCTTTCCAACTATGAGGAGTAGGATTATGCCTGCATCTTCCCATGGATACCCACAAGCACAGGCTTGGCCAAGACAGGGGCCAAATAAACACTGACTGCAACACAAGTGTGACACAGGAATGTCTACCTGCATCTCGACACTGCAGGGCACTGTCACGGGGAGGCTTCTCAGAAGAGAGAGGCTCAAGGATTCCACAGCCCACTTTCTCTGGGGCAATGAGTGTCATGTGCAGACTGGACATGGTCTTCAGGACTGTCTGCCCAAGGCTCTACCAGAGATTCCACAGTGCTCATGACAAACAGAGGCCCTGATCCAGTGCACTGTGTTCTGAGAAGAAGGTGTGCTGGGCAGACACAACAGACAAGAGACAGTGACAAGAAACCTGCTCTCGGTGGACAGCCAGGGAGAGTGTCCATGGGAAGGTGACACAGGCTGAGTTCTTGGGGACAAGGAAGACACAGTCACTGGACCTGGCTCCCCACTGTAGAACAAGGCAACCACGGGGGCTGTGGGGGAACTGTGTAGAGCAAGAGAGGGGAGAATACTGGTACCATCTTGTCCCGAGGGTTTGGCAGCTACTTCTCAGCCACATTTCTTCTCTGTCAGTGAAGCCGGGGAGGCAATCGGCTAGATTCCTCTAAGGAAGTTTCCCTTAGCTTTCTGGCCTTTGAATTCTACTTAGATCTGACTGAGTCTCCTCATTTCTGTCACTCTGGAGTGAAGATAGTAGAGCAAGCCAGGTGTCAAGGAGTCATGGCACAGAGCACAGAATAGCCCAGCGTAACCTGCCTTCAGCAAGAGTGAAGGGAGCAGATCCTCAGTCCCGTTCTTCCACAGGGCACAGCAGACACTCCCCCAACAGATTGCTCCACAGTGTCAGAGTCCTAGCCATCACAGTGCTGCTGGGGCCCAATGGGGAGGCCTGGCACGCATGGCTTACAAATTCTCAGAATCTGCAAGGGCCTGGCATACAGTGGGTACTCCACATTCATTTGCAGATGGATGAGAGAAAGGTAGAAGTGGACTCTGGGGCTGTTACTTGTAGAGAACTCAAATATGTTTATCCAATTACCACATCACTTGTCAGAATACAGTTGTTCCTAGGAGGAGCTTACTATCTTTTTAAAAATTTGTTTGTTTATTTTTTTAAGGTTAGAGTGTGTGCACCTGCCAGAGAGAAGAGAGACAGAAAGATTCAGAGACAGTGGAAGTGATAAGTCACCCCCTGGGGAGATGGCCATGCTTCAATCCTTCTTCTCTTGGGATTTTTGGACATGTACACATATACACCCAGTGAATTTTCAAGACAACTGGTCTGAGACTTGAACCGCGGTGGGCCATGTGGGAGTCCAGCACTTAATCACTATGCCACCTGCTGGCCCAAAGCTTATTATCTTAGATTTTTAAATTTTTTTTTAATTTGCTATGGGAATGTTCACAAAGCTAATGTGTAATTTCTGGCAAAGAGTCACAGACAGGGGCCCTGACCCAGTGCACTATGTTCTGAGGGGAAAGTGTGCTGGGCAGATACAACAGACAAGAGACAGCAACAAGAAACCTGCTCTACATGGACAGCCAGGGAAGGTGTCCATGGGAAGGTGACACAGGTTGAGTTCTTGGGGACAAGGAAGAACCACCTATTTAATTTAGCCTAAATAGTCTCAACTCTCAAAGCTTCAAATAAAGAACGTGTGTCCCTCTGTGCCCTATAAGGCTGCTGGACACATGTCCCAAGGGCCCTTCCCCTGACGCCCACCAAAGTGGATGCCCAGAAGACAGAAGCCACCCTAGTCCTACCTACAGACCCAGGATGCATGGCAGGACGCTAGCATGGCCTGCTATATAAGTGAATGAGTTCACTGGAAGTGCCAAGCCACTCAGGAGGTAAAGGTCTTCAGGAGGCTATGGGGGGAGGAAGCTCTAAACCCTGGTGAATAGCATGTCATTTAAGTCATTCAACAAATATTTATTGAGTACTTTTTCTTGTACCTCAGGAGCAGACTTGGCCAATCCAACTGTGGTGGCCTGGTCCTACCTCTACCACACTGTTTCTCCTGTGAGCTCAATCAAGGGACGATTCATACCAAAACAGACGCATTTAGATTTAGCTAGACAGAGAACACCTGACCTCCATAACTTCAGACAGCAGAATCTCCCCTCATTATCTGCTATGGATTTCAATGGAAATAAAAACAGCACAGAAGGGGTAGCTGCTCAGTGCCAGGCTCCTGGGCTGTGCAGATGCCCCCTCCTATCAGCTCTTGGGACCTACCTTTCCACAGGGTGAGAGCCAGCAGCTGGTGGAGGCGGGGATGGCCCAGCTTCCCAGATCCCCCACTGGACCACTTCAGGGCTCTGGACACAAAGGCCACTCGCTCTGGAGAGTTTGGATCCATCAAACTAAACACTTGAGCCAGATTTTCTGAAAACGACACAAACAGACCTTCACCTAAATGAATACACAAGTATTCCAGTCTTTGTATCACATACCTCACAAAAATGTATTAAAGACAATTAACTTCAAAAGAAAGCTGAGAAGTACTAGCATGCTGTAGGTGTCCTGGTGACTATCCCAGGGGTTTGAATGCTTCCAAGGCACCCCCAATTGACCTCTCCGCTGCAGTGCCAGGGCCGCAAACCCTAGAATGTGACGACAACTTTCTGGCATCATGGCTCAGCCTGTGTTGGAATCAAGTGGGAGGGTGGGCTGTGGATGGGGGTGCTGGTCCTCAGAAGAACAAAGCCTGGGGTGGATAGGGAGTAAAACACCAAGCCAGGAGTGGGACCCCTCCTTCACCTTCAAGCTGGGCAGCTCACAAAGAGGACTCCCCAACCGCAAGCTTACCGAACGGCACAGGCCGACAAGCCAAGTCTCTGGACAAAAGGGTGCCACCACCTTGTCCATCAGGGCAGGGGAGAGGTCAATTACTGTGCAGACAGTACAAGTGGCTCCCGTGCTGGGGAAGGGAAGTGCCCAAGTCATGCTTCACCTATAAAACACAGTATGTCCTGCTAAGTGTGCCTGCATGCTCAGAGCAGGGTGTGTCAGGTGGGCCTGGGTCATTGCGACTGGGCAGGAGCTAGCTCTACAACAAAGCTTATCCCAGAGCACAGGAAACTGCATCATGCCAGCACAAAACAGAACAAAGTGACTTAGGTGGACAGATCAGTTATGAAACGGCCTAAGGTGTGAGGGTGCCTCGTGCACTGCAAAGCTCGACATGGTAAGGAAATCTCACCTAGTAACTCATCAGCCACGTCCACTTCTGCCTTCTCCAGAGATTCTAAGACCAGCATGGATAAGTCGGCAGCACTGTTTTGCTACAAAATACATAAATGCACAAGAATCATGCAGTTAGAAACAAAGCTCTAATTTGTTCAGAACACATAAGATAATGCTGGGTAGCTGCTCCAGTTTTCTAAACTGAAGCCTGTGAACAGCTGAAGTTAAAAACATCTATTCTGAGCACCACATAGCTTAGAATGCAGCTAAGTGACTGAGACCTCCTGACCAGGAGCAAACAGACACGGGCAGAGCTGAATATACCAAAATAAGGCACATGCAGCATCCCAATGCCCATAAATACAACACCAGAGCCTCAGCCATGAGGGACCCTCAGTGACAGGCTCTTCCCACTCAAGCATCTACAGCCAGAACACCAGGACCCTCTGCCACCTGTGGCTGAGCCAGAAGTGGCCTGATGTCATCTATCAGGCCTCTCCCTGGTCGTCCTCATTTCAACTCTCCTGCTCAGAGCAGAAAAGGATAGACGGGAAATGGCAGACCACTCACCTGGCCATGACTGAAGAATAGCAGCGCCCCTGAGTACATGAGCTCTCGGGCTTCTGCGTGTTTGCTTTGGGACATGTACCTGCAATAGAAAGACACACACAGTCCTCACCACGGACATTCTCATGTTAGGTGCACCGTGCTGAAATGCTGAAGTGTGGGTGTTCCCATAGATGTAAAGGCTTTATAAGAGCAAGCATGCCCACATGCATACGCACCTCTCGCAAGGAATGAACATAAAGCCATTCCTGAGATACATGCGCTCCAAGGGAGGAAAGGAAAAGTCTGTCCCAGTCACCCTACAGGGCATGCCCTTCCCGGCATGAGCTGAAGAGCTCATGGGCCTCTCCTGCCACCTCCCGACCCCACATCACCCCAGCTTCTCTCCACCATAAGAGCTGCATGGAATGCCTCAACACTAAAGTCCTTGCTGTCAGAGGGTTCTGGCCTTCGAGAACCAGCTCACTCCCCTAAAAACTCAGAGTTGGTGAGAAAGGGGGAAGGTCCTATCCGTGCTCAAACAGGCCCAGAGCAAAGAAGAAGCTCTTTCCTTCAAGTAGCTCCCAGATTTCAGTAAAAGAGCTAAGAAGACAGACTGGAGGCAGAATGTCCTCTGAACCCTCTAAGAGCTGCTCGCTCCTCCTTCCATGAGAGGGACAACCTAGGGACATCATTGCCCCTGGTGTCACATCACTTCTTCACTGACAAGGAAGCACAGGTTTCCTGAACCACTCATGGGCAGCAGCACAGAGCAGAGAGAGGCTCAGCTAGCAGCTAAACAGATTCAGAGCCATGGAAAAGACGAGCAGAGCCCCGGCCACGAGAGCAGACAGTGCAACAAGAGGAGATGGCAGCACACTCCCAGAGCACAGTGGGCAGGCGACTAGGTAGGCTTCAATATTTCATCTCACTGGCTATGCATTTATCTTAATTATAATTTCCTCATTATTGCAAAAAAACAGTCAACTCTGCCTGCAAGCCAAAATTCCCTGGACAAAGTCGTGTGGTTTTTTTTTTTTTTTAAAATATCAAGTTAAAGGAGACCAGCAGGTGGTGTGGTGGTTAAGGCACTGGACACTCCCACGAGTCCCAGAACTGGAGGCTTGCTCTCTCTCTCTCTCTCTCTCTCTCTCTGTGTGTCTCCCTGGTCAAATTAAAAAGTAAATGAATGAATAAGTAAAATTAAATTTAAAAAATTCTTAAAGAAAAATCAAGTTAAAGAAAAATATTCAGTAATCTCTCTCTCTGTGTCTCCCTGGTCAAATTAAAAAGTAAATGAATGAATAAGTAAAATTAAATTTAAAAAATTCTTAAAAAAAAATCAAGTTAAAGAAAAATATTCAGTAAACTTCAGTACAGGTGATAGACACAGCAAAACCTACAGCAGTGACACACAAATGGCTCACATCTAGGAAATGCTACTTTAGCATCACCAGGACAGACAAATTAGCAGGGCATGCCAACAAGTTAGCTGTTTCATTAATTACAAAGAAAATCTTTTCTTCAAAAAGGCACCACAACCAACCATTCCCTTCCCCTCAGGCAGCACTTGCGAATCTTGTTAGCTTGGCACACAGGTCCCTCAATAGGAGACGACACCCCATTTGGCTGCACACTGGGGGTGGGGACTAAGAAAGAAAACCAATCTCAGCCCACAGGTCACTGGTGCAGTCTGGGGTTTTACCCACATCTCTCCCATGCACTCCATCTGGGATGGGGACCGACTCCCACCGTGACTCAGCACCTTGACAGAGCATCCTAATTCTAGTCCTGCAGCCCTGCTCGGAGTACTCTGGAGAATCGAGTCCTTGAGGATACAGCCTCACACTGCCATGTGCATGGCACATACAGGGCAGTCTGCATTTATCCCAAGTGCTGATGCATGCATGATACCACAGAGTTCTAGACTCTTCTATCTGAAGTACAGCAAGAGATAACCTCTTAGAAAACCAGACACAGAAAAAACAAAAACAAAAACAAAAAAAATCTTTGAAGGGCATATAAACCAAATTCTAGGGATACAGGAACCTATTTTCCAAGTGGCACTGCAGTGACCATTGCAATAAGCCACTTCAGCCTGCATGGACCTCTCCCAGGCTCAGCAGTCACCTGCAGTATTGCAGCCAGCCTTCCCTCTCAGGACAGCTGGGCACACATAGGAGAGAGGAGGAGGCAAACAGCGGTGACTGATGCACACAACACCAGAGTTTTCAACCAGTCATTCCCCACCTCGCTGAAACTGCCTGTTGCTACATCAAATCTGGTAAAAGACAAAACAGTCAGTCTAAGGCAACTCCGTGAAAGCAAGTGTGCTTCTTTTTCCATTGACCAATTTCAGGAGCTGGAAGGGATTTTCATTTCTGCGTGACTAAGCAGAAACTGGTGTCCCTGAGGCCCCAAGGCCATGGGAGAATACAGGTCAGCTCCACCACTATCTTGTCCACACAGCCCCAACCTATGCACAGTACACTGATTGTTCAAAAGCACCATTTACAGACGCTGAAACTGAGTTCCCGTCTTTCACTGATGGAAGACGTTCCCAGTTGGCACATCTGGGGCTGTCCACTAGCTAATGGACTTCTGGCAATGACATCTTCATTCACAGAGCAATTTGTCTGTGCAAGTACTTTAGCTTATTTTGCTCTTTTTCAAACAAAACAAAACAAAAACAAAACAAAACAAAACAAAAAAACAATACAGAAATGGAAATACTAATACTTGTGATAAAAACTGCGGGTTTCTGGGCTGGTCCCATAGTGTGGCAGTGAAGCACTGTATAGAGGAAGCCAGATCCCAAAAGGCTGATCAGGTTTCAAGTTCCGGTCCCTTCAGCTTGGAAAACATGTGGGTACCTGTGTACCCACATCTAGGATCCTGATGGGATGGAGAACTGGAGGAGACAAGAGTGTGGCATGACCACACCTGTGGAGGGTGCCTTCTCTCAGGCACAGATGCCCTCTAGAATTAAAAAGAAAACTGTGTGGGTGTCAAATGAAGACAGACAGAGCTCATGGGGGAATCTCCAGTCTCAGTTCCACTCTCAGTAGGCAGAGGCAGTTTACTGTATGTTCAACAACTGAGAATGGACATGAAATACTGAAGATATACTTGTCTTTAGATGAGATAACTAGATTTTACAACAAAATTTCTACATTGGTTGACTATTAGGTTAAAACACACCCACTCCTGGACACTGGGGCTGGTCAGTGTTTGCCTTCAGCTCAGAAACTGCAAAGCTCAGAAGAACTGAGGACATTGCTTCAAAGAGTCATGCCACAAACAAGACTGCACTGTCCAGGATCTGTTGCCTGAATTCCCAACAACTCTTTCATATGGACTGTAAGTTTTTCCTTTTAAAAAAATTTTAAGAGCAACGTAAGGTTACGGGCCACAATAAATCAATTCTAACAAATCTCAGGCGAAATCACAGGGCAAGTTCAATGGCAGGCAGGTGGAGGGCTGTAGGGAGGGTGTGGAACCCGGGCAGGTGAGCTGAGGGCAGTTCTATTTGTGGACACTGCAGATTACTGCCTCCTAGGCTGGTTTTTCAACCACATCAAAGTTTCTAAAAGCAAATCTACAAACATGCAATCAACACTGAGGCCCCTTGAGCTAGGACGGTGGCATTAAAGCCACTAGGGCAAAGCTGTCCCCAAAGCCACCATTTTCTGACTTTGTAGGGTACCAATTTCCCAATAGGCTTGGAAAACTGACCCCCCTCTCTGCCCTGGCAAAAATGAAAGGAGAGACTCAAAGAAGTCTGGAGAGACAAGGTGACCTACCATAACCAGTACACAGGAACAAAGGTGAAATGTTCGTAAGGTCCTTATCCTCCAACATCACTAGGTGAACCAGAACATTGCCAAACTTCTGTGGGACCAATTCACAGGAGACCAGTGTGTTTCCTTCCCCCTCCTCTACCTTAAACTGACCCGAGCGAATTAAAACCATTCTATTTGGAGAACTTACAAGACAGCTGAATGAATAACAAATTGTGACAAATCCAAACAATGGAATTATCACTCAACAATAAAAAAGAACTAGATATATGGATGAATCTCAAAACAATCGTGGTGAGTGAATTTAAAAAGTCAATAAAAAAGGTACACACAATGATTCAACTAATATAAAATTCTAGAAAATACCACTTAATCTATAATGACACACTGAAACTCAGTGGTCACCTGGGAGAAACAGGTGAGGAAGACTGATTATACAAGCAGAGAATAAATCTTTCAGGGTTATATTTTCAGTATATATCGATTGGTGTTGGGCGCATGGATATATTTGTATGTAAAAACTCATCAAATTGTATACTTTATCTAAATATTTAAATGTGATAGGCAAATATATATTACAGACGTTAAAAAATTCATTTAACTTGGGGATTTTTGACTTCTCCAGAAGCTTCACACCCATGGAGTAGTCTAAGCCAGGAATCCAAGTGGAAATTCTACCCTTGGAAGTCAGGGACAGCTCCATGGTATGGCAGTGGAACTCTAGGTGGCCATGATGAAGTAACTGCCACAGCTCGCTGGGTGTCCTTTCTTCCCACGTTACTCACAAAGAAGACATGGGTGAGAACAGAGCAGTAAATGTCCAGGCCCCAGGTCTAACTTCAAGGCTCAGGGTTTCGACACAAAGCCACACAATATCCCCGATGAGGTTACTCCTCACTGTGCAGGCTTCTTAATTTCACAAGACCCCGGAGACATACTGTCCAGAAGGCAGTGAGGATGCAGACCTCATCCACCATCACTCCTGTTTCACTATAAAATACAGTCTCAGCCAAAGGATTCATCGCTTAAAAGCTAAAATAACAATCAAGTCCTTCATCACAGTAGAACTGGCTCAAAACAAAGAACATCCTGCGTATTTTTGAGAAGCTCCACTTTTGCTAATTAATGACTGGTCAAGTATTTATACACAAATTCCCCCAAACTGCAAACATCAGGGCAAGGAGCCAGTGCTACAGAAGGTCTACATCATAGATTTATGGTCAGTAATCTACAATGAGCAGGCTCACTCTACAAAGTTTAATGCCTAGTTCTTTAAGAACAGATTTAAGGGGCTATCACCACGCATTTGCCAAGCAAGCTGTTAATGTTCAGTGACAAATTCAATCGACAGTCATCTAGCATTAACGACTTGCTTTGGACAGAGGTAAAATGAAAGTTTCTAACTAAAGGGAAAAGCAAATCTCTTTCTAAACAAATTAAACAGCTAGGTTTTCAAAAAAGAAAGGCACTTACACCACAATGATAAAACTAGATGTGGCCTGACTGCTTGCATTTTTAGAAAGTCAGGGGTCAATACATACAAAATTCTGAAAATAAGATTGCCCTTTTCGTCACTAAGACGCAGAGCAGCGCTGTTATCTCTTAGTAAGGCTAGAGTCAGGAACTTGAAATCCATGCCTCTTAACTCCAGGTTGGCAGAATAAGAGAAAAAAGAAAAAAAAAAAAAACCCTGAAAATAAAGATGTCAGGGCTTCATCCCATGTCCCAGACCTATCAAGTCAGCTAATATTGGGAACTACCGACTTAAAACACTGCTGTCTCTTTTCTTTCGCTAGCACAAATAAATACTGCTAAGGACATAGTATACTCATGACATGTCTAGGGCCTAACAACTCCCACATACTTCACCTAGATCAAGTGCCCTTTGGTCACTATGTTAATGAGTCACCCAGGGCAGGTGGAACCCAACAACAGACTTTGTGAATGTATCACACCAAGAGTGTGAGACAAAAGTAAACTATTTACCTTGGATGAAAATAATGGACTGTCATCAGCTGTAACAAATGTGCCACTCTGGAGGGGAATATTGATAGTGGGGGAGGGCTGAGGACCCCTGTGTGGGGAGAGGGGGATAAGTGGGAAAATTCTGTACCTTCTACTCCATTTTGCTGTGAATCTAAAACTGCACTAAAACAAACAAACAAAACTATCAAAAAGACACACACAAAACATAACTAGGCCCAAACTGTGTAAAGGCCTTATTCACTGTCCTCCCAAATATTTACTGTTCTGTGGTAGTTTTTTTTTTTTTTGGAGAGGTTTTCGCTATGGGGCGCGTGTGCTTGCCAGACAGAGACATAGAGACAGAAAGCGAGAAATCACCCCCCAGGGGGGATGGTCACGCTGCAATCCCTTCTCCTCCATTCTCCTCTCGGGATCTTGGGCACGTACGCATACGCGCCGGGCGTGAGTTTTAAGCCACTGGGTCCGGGACGCGAACCACTGTCAACTACAGGGGAGTCCAGTGACATAGCCATTACGCTACCTGCTGGTTCCCTTCTGTGGTAGTTTTAAAATAAAAGGTACTCCATTGGACATATTAAGACTTTTAAAATTATTTTAAAAACATATTCAAGTGGGGCCAGCAGGTGGCGTGGACTCATACAGGGTTGACCACAGTTCAAGTCCTGGACCCGGTGGCTTGCTTTCTTGCTTTCCTTCCCTCTCTCTGTCCCTTTCTGGTCAAATTTAAATAAACAAACAAATAAATATATAAAAGTTTTTAAAAATATTCAAGTTGTAGGGAATGGCCAAATTATTTCCTGGCTTAAACCATAAAGGGTCAGAAAATGTGTAATTTGCAGAAATATCGTACAGATAAGAATTTAAAAATGACAGCAGTCGTTTTATGAGCACAAATACTACAGTACAGTGCAGTCCAAAGAAAATTCCACGTCAACAGCACTTGGAAATCGTTTAACAGTCACAGTAAAAGCAGACACCTGTATTTAATCCAGTATCTCCAAGTATCATTTCAACACGTCCTCGGCATTTTAAGTTACTGAGACGTTTCCCTCTGCTCCTACACTAAGCCTCTGAGCCCGGTGTTCGCACCCGCATCTCAGACACGACAGCAGCACGTGGCCACGGTCACCCCACCGGGCGAGCAGGTGTCATACAGATACCAGACCTGTAAAAACAGCTGACGTGGTAACAAAACAAAACCCAGAGGAACAGGGGCGATGTAACAAAAGAAAAAACAGTCTTAAAGCATGACGGCTGGGTTCTCAGTGGGGAGAAAAGCGTGCGAATTTGCATGGGGGTTTACAAAACCAAACGGAACTCGGTGCGGCCACGGTCGGAGAACCTGGAGGGTCCGGTACCGATGGGGGGCAGGGGAAGAGCAAAGAGATGGAAATCCTGGAGAGGGAGACCTGGGATGGGTGGAAGGCCAGATAGGGGAGAACTGGGGGAGACCGGGCTGGAGGAGACCTGAAAAGGGAAGGGGGAAGAATCCAAGGAAAGGCAGGCAGGCAGCAGGAAATCCAGGAAGGGTATAGGGAAAAGGCCGAAGAAGAGAGGCCAGGCAGACGCAGGCCGGAACGCTCCACCAGGCGGCCCCGTGGCCACTCGCATCAACTCGGCCTCAGAGACAAGCAGCAGCATGGACCAATGGGGACGCGGGACAACGCGGTACAGCCAATAGAAGGCGGCCGGGGGCGGGGCCTGAGCGTGGGGCCGAGGCGGAAGGCCGACGCGCGCGGCTACCTGAAGAAGAGGGTCCGGTACATCTGGTGCGCCTCGTAGTAATCGCCCTTTTCGACGCTGGCGCGCAACTTGCCCTCCACGCGCTGGACGCCGCCGCGGTTGCGGGCGCCGTTCCGGGCGCTCTCCTGTTCAGCC